AACAGGCTCCAAATTGCAACACCATATGTCTTTTGCTTCGGTCCATAAAAGTTCTCGATGCAACTGGCGGACCAGTTCGTTCACTGAATTACTTGTGAAATTAGGCGGTGGGTAACGGATATTATCCGTACCTAAATAATAAACATGCATATAGAAAAAAATGCATCTCATAAAATATATAGAATTTTTAAAACTGTTCGATTTAAATGAGAGAACTTTACCTGCACAATGTGCTAAGAATTTGTCTGTTAATACGTGGAAATCTTCTGAACGATTCGGGAATTCTGTACCGAAGAACATTTGACCCATTTGGAAGGCATTTAGACACTGTGCTAAGTCCGCTCTTGAAGACCTCTCCATTGACCGAACATTCGTTATAGACGCTCTCGAGGTTTGAATGTGCAAAGATTTTGGCCTGTCTTTTTGATTCGGATAGTCTTGCTGGCTTTCAAAAACTAACTGAAAATAACAATCAGACTGTGAGCCCCACGAAATTTTGTATTAAACAGGATGACATCGCTTACCCTTGGAAGTATAGCTTCGATCTTCACGTCGAAGTACATTAAATTCGTGGAAGCATATGTTCCTTGCTTGTCCTTATTCGTTATCAGGGAATGATATAAATTCAAGCCGAAGGAGTTAAACCATAAACAGGAGCAAACGTCGAAGTTTACTTGTATCGGGTTTAGTTGTACGTAAAATTTTGGTGGTGGCACTGAACGTTCATAAAATATATTAAATTGTAGATTAATTAAAAATATTAATTGAAATGGATTTATTTACCTACATGGAAATGTGATGTCTCCTGGATAATAATAATACGTAAATTCTGCGTGGAGGATCGTGACATCTTCCGGAAGACAAAACCTGTCTCTGTCACCTAAGCAGAATAAAATTATTTCAATAAAATATAACGTGATTGCGTAATGAATATAATTTCGTCAATAACATACATGCGTCACGAATATACTCCATACAATATTAATAATAATTCACATAATGTTATACATACTACAAAATGCGAACTGTAATGATTGTACGAAGTATAAACAATTTATATGACCCTGTTACGATTAAACATTTCGTTCGTGGTGTCTGCTTTAAGAAAGTAAACTATACTATGATTACGCTTCGACTATGCTGCGACTGTACTCGGGATTAATTACACATAAATTACTATTCATTCGTTTTACGACTGCTGTTAAAAAAGTTTCTCGCAGCAAGATTTCACATTAATGCTAAATTAAGTAGCACACATACGACGTGGTAACAACATAACGCATGAAGCAACGAAATTTCTCAAACATGTTTCGAGTAGTGTTCATGATGCGCTATTAATGTAAATGTACTACAACTATTTATAATCTGTACCTGCTGCATGTTTCTTCCTTGTTTGAGCTGTGCAATTATTAAACGAATTAATTATTTACATTATAAGAGCGCTTCAGCGATCATTTTTTTCTTTACAAAAAAAAAAAAAAACGAACCCACTAAGTGAATTAATTCGACGATCGCGAATTTTGTCACGTACCTGTGGCAAACTCTTTCGGCAACGGATTACGGGATGTCGTCGTTACTTTGTACAAAGTGAAGTCGTCGATTCGTATTATAATGCAGGTCGTCATTAATTTAGCCAGATGTTCCAAAATATAATTCTTCACTGGATTCCCGCTGGGGTGCTGCGACTTTTTCTGCTCCTGACCAGCCGCGTTTGCATTCTGGGCTTGATTACCCTTCTCCAAATTTTCTCCCGCACCTTTCGCGTTATTAACTAAAAGATACGTAATATTTGATGAGCGTCGGTGTACGATTGTTATCCTTTTTTTATTCGTACGAACCTGGAGCATTCCCTTGGCTTCTCGTTAGGGGAGAATGCTGCGTTCTACCAGAATCAATGAGATCCATAAATTGGCTACGGAAAGAGCTTAACGATTGCTGTAACCATTGGCTGTGGGGTGTAGCGTTCTCTTTGTACTTGACCCAATGCTTCCTATCAGCCATTGCTAAATGATATGGATAATAGTCAACTTGAAATCTGACTAGCGAAATTTGCAACGCACCACCGTCCTTCAAATCGGGATGAGAAGACCTGCCATCTGAGTGCAAAGTAACTCTTATCATTCTAATCGTATTATCGTAATTAGTAAGAGATCTCCACTTACTGCCAGGATCGTCGCACAAATGTAAATCAATTCTTTGGCAAAGAAAATGATATGATGTTTCCACGACGTCGTACTTGGCGAAAAATTTCGAGATAAGAGTGGTGTGTTGACTCTTCGACCTCGATTGAAACATTTACAAACCTCTAATTTCCTAGCTGCTTTCGTTTTACGTTCTAAAATTGTAGCTTTTTCTATTAGACCTCCTAAGGAGTCGATGAAATGAAGCGCTGCCTTTAATTGTGAATCAGTTAAAACCCAGAGGAGGTCGTCTAAAATTAGAATCAGTCTTGACCCCATGACAAAACAATCTGAAACATTCATAATAAGCATGTATACAAATTAATATCGTATAATTATGTGTTGAATAATAAGTACAGCAATATTTTCGACCTGATATTCTTTTCTTGATAATGATCCGGCATCTTGCTTGATTTGTAAGTAAACGTAATGGCGTAAGGTTCTTATCTTTAGTACTTTGTGCTTCTATCCTAACCGTCTGCCATTCTAATTCCTTAAAAATGAGTAACTGACCGCGGTCAGGGTCTTTTACTCTAGTAGTTCTTAAATCACATCTCTGCCACGTCGGAGACTTTGATTCAACAACGATGCGATTCATCTGATAAATAAATAAAATTTCAAATAAATATGCAACAGATTCTTAAAAAAAGAAAACAGTGGAACACTTACCTGAACTGAAGCAATAAACGCAGGGCTCTTAAACGTAACTGACACTGTATTGACAGTCACTGTTATACCATCGATCACTTTTTGTATAAAAGAATATTTCCCAGGTCCTGTATACGAGGACAGTCCTTGCGGGGATGTTAAATCCCTTAAGTCTTCGCATGTTTCTACTTCTATATGAACTTCATCCAAACTCTACGGACATCGAAAACTGGTTAAACCTTATTGACATCGAAGTTACATAATAATTGATGTGCTAAGGAGGCGAGTGTCTCCTACCAAAAAAATAGGAACACTTCTCAGCTTGGTCCATTGTATGCGGAACGAAACTTTATTGCACCAAGCGCTTGTTAATCTAAGCCACGATGGCAACTCTAATAAATCTGTTAAGACCGTCTCATCGAGTTCCAAGTTTGTCAATTCGCCTTCTCCTTTGAACGTGCTTAAGTTTATTTTATCTGCCGACAAATTCTTGGTAAACCTATAAAGATATACAAATTCATGTAATAATCGTCGTACACTCGAGAAACTGTGATGACACGGTTCTCTGTATTATCTTTTATTATAGCAATTATCTGACTATCGTCGTGTTAACAATTGTGGAAAATAACTAAAAGAAATGATCGATAATTTAAAGACGACGTGTAATTAATGCGGTGAATCAAATAAGTCTGACCTGGAGATTGTTTAATGACTTTAACATCTACAATCGTTGATAATGGTCGTGCAATTTTTAATTGCACGTCGAATTGGAGATAAGGAGAGAGGCTTAATTAGTGGTTCGTATTCGTATAAATACCTGGACAGATGTTTCAACAGTTGCTTTTTTATTAATGACACCATCTTTTCTTAATTACTTTCAATTGGTCTGTACGATCTCGAATACGCGTTTCAGCATGGTTAATTTGACACTAGACATTTGCTACGAACGACGTCCCGTTCATACATGCCACGATTGTTCACGCAGCTTTCGACTTTCGACTCAAGTAGTCAGTGAACTGCACGACCGCTGCTAAATTTCTAGTTTCTCTCCTTCACTTTTTCTCGCATTTTTTATTCAGCTGAAACCTGTACTCCGCGTCGATTTCGCAGCAGGCAAATCACCATCCCAGTTTTCATACTGTAACAAATATGATCACTCCGTTAGTTATTGAGAGACGCGGCAGCGTCCCGAATGCAAAATATAGGCGCTTGCTTGACGGTACCGCGACCTTACAACCCAGTCGAATTGGGGATCGGACCTTTTTTTTTAAATTTTAATTATTAATATCGTTCCTCCATTTGTCGTTTTTGTTTCTTCTAAATCTCTGGCTATCGTCACAGTTGTGTAAACTGTTCTTCAATTTGAAACAAGCTTCGTCAAAAACAATTTTAAAAATAGAAAATTGTAATTTTTGAAATCACTATGGCCCATTTCCCTATCGATTCGGGTTCCGATTCTCCTTCGTTTGACCCTCGACTTATCCGTCAGCGTTCTGATCATGGACTTTCGCAAGTCATTAACTGACGAAGTATGAAAGCTATGCTCGGTTGAAATTTCAAATAAATATGCAACAGATTCTTAAAAAAAGAAAACAGTGGAACACTTACCTGAACTGAAGCAATAAACGCAGGGCTCTTAAACGTAACTGACACTGTATTGACAGTCACTGTTATACCATCGATCACTTTTTGTATAAAAGAATATTTCCCAGGTCCTGTATACGAGGACAGTCCTTGCGGGGATGTTAAATCCCTTAAGTCTTCGCATGTTTCTACTTCTATATGAACTTCATCCAAACTCTACGGACATCGAAAACTGGTTAAACCTTATTGACATCGAAGTTACATAATAATTGATGTGCTAAGGAGGCGAGTGTCTCCTACCAAAAAAATAGGAACACTTCTCAGCTTGGTCCATTGTATGCGGAACGAAACTTTATTGCACCAAGCGCTTGTTAATCTAAGCCACGATGGCAACTCTAATAAATCTGTTAAGACCGTCTCATCGAGTTCCAAGTTTGTCAATTCGCCTTCTCCTTTGAACGTGCTTAAGTTTATTTTATCTGCCGACAAATTCTTGGTAAACCTATAAAGATATACAAATTCATGTAATAATCGTCGTACACTCGAGAAACTGTGATGACACGGTTCTCTGTATTATCTTTTATTATAGCAATTATCTGACTATCGTCGTGTTAACAATTGTGGAAAATAACTAAAAGAAATGATCGATAATTTAAAGACGACGTGTAATTAATGCGGTGAATCAAATAAGTCTGACCTGGAGATTGTTTAATGACTTTAACATCTACAATCGTTGATAATGGTCGTGCAATTTTTAATTGCACGTCGAATTGGAGATAAGGAGAGAGGCTTAATTAGTGGTTCGTATTCGTATAAATACCTGGACAGATGTTTCAACAGTTGCTTTTTTATTAATGACACCATCTTTTCTTAATTACTTTCAATTGGTCTGTACGATCTCGAATACGCGTTTCAGCATGGTTAATTTGACACTAGACATTTGCTACGAACGACGTCCCGTTCATACATGCCACGATTGTTCACGCAGCTTTCGACTTTCGACTCAAGTAGTCAGTGAACTGCACGACCGCTGCTAAATTTCTAGTTTCTCTCCTTCACTTTTTCTCGCATTTTTTATTCAGCTGAAACCTGTACTCCGCGTCGATTTCGCAGCAGGCAAATCACCATCCCAGTTTTCATACTGTAACAAATATGATCACTCCGTTAGTTATTGAGAGACGCGGCAGCGTCCCGAATGCAAAATATAGGCGCTTGCTTGACGGTACCGCGACCTTACAACCCAGTCGAATTGGGGATCGGACCTTTTTTTTAAATTTTAATTATTAATATCGTTCCTCCATTTGTCGTTTTTGTTTCTTCTAAATCTCTGGCTATCGTCACAGTTGTGTAAACTGTTCTTCAATTTGAAACAAGCTTCGTCAAAAACAATTTTAAAAATAGAAAATTGTAATTTTTGAAATCACTATGGCCCATTTCCCTATCGATTCGGGTTCCGATTCTCCTTCGTTTGACCCTCGACTTATCCGTCAGCGTTCTGATCATGGACTTTCGCAAGTCATTAACTGACGAAGTATGAAAGCTATGCTCGGTTGCATATGTATCTTAGAGATATATATCTACGGAAGATTCTATTTAGATTGTATTTGTGTTTTAAATCAAGGAATAGCGCAGGCGTCTATCCCAACTATACTAATTTACCTATCGATCGTTCATCGATCGCTGATTCTTTCTTCTTCTTCTTGAATCCGCGAGCACGTGTTTTTCTCAAATTTATTTATTAATACCAGACACGTTTTCAAACCAGGGCTTGCAATAAGAACATCGAAGCTTCAGGATAACGGGAGATGGAATTTATCTCGAACATTGATAAATCCAACGAGCGGAACAGGAGCGTAAATGCAAATGGGAATCATATTGCAATGGTAGATTTGTTTGTTAACGATTGTATGAATATTTCGATTTTTTATACTTGAGTTCCTGTTGAGTAAATTCCTTTCCTTTATTTTATTCTTCATCTCCTCCTTGATGCTCATTTGATTAGCCACATCAATTTGTAGATCTTTTAACTATTTGCTCCGACCTTCGTTTTCCTATAATAATTTATATATATTGTATATAAATTATATAATAACGTTAATGCAATTGTATTAATTTTTGTGAATTTTTTAATATGATATATATTCATTTATTTCAAATGTACTCGCATGTATATTTCAATATCACACAGTTTCCACGAAAGGCACATTATTTACATCCACAGCCAAAAATTATGGCATACAATTTGAATATTATACCTGTCCTAGTGTAAAAACTGAATCCTAGGCAGTCTTCTTCTTGAGCAACATTGTACTTACATACTATAATAATCGTACATACATACATGTTGTAAACATAAAGAATAAGTGTTCATATATAATCGCATACGAATTACGAATTGTAATAAAGAAATTGAACGTAGTTATAATTTCTTAAATGATAACAAAAGGTATAACGCTTGTACTTTTGAGTTTGGGTAATCCCAAAATCATCGAGTCCGAACATTCTCCAACATCCTCTTCTTCATTTGATTATAAACTTTGACGTCGAACTCGATGATCAGATATTTCAATCAACCTATTATCGAAAGAAGTAGACGGATAAGTGAAAACAATGATCAAGCAGCGAGCTGACGACGTCTACTCAATTCGTGATCTATTAAAACGGATATGTCCGGGTGACGATGAAGTATCGTCGTGCAATAATGGACCGTTTGGCTTGGGTCCGCGCCGGCTTTTAGCAACAGCCTCACCGCATTCACGAAACCGCTCTCGGCGGCCACTTGAAGAGCGGTCAACCCCTCCGTGTTCAATTTCTCTAACTGCGCGAGGGGCGATGTGACTAACAAAGAGACGGTTTGATGGAAGCCTCTGCCGGAGGCTAAATGCAACGGCGTGTTCCCACCGGCGTCCTGCACGCTCGGATCCTCTCCGTGTTCGAGCAGTTTTGCTACCATGTCCGCGTAGTTTTTTCTCGAGGCAATGTGCAACGGAGTTTCACCGTAACGCGACTTGATACCGGTTGGCGTGTGTGCCACGAGCAAAAAGCCGGTGTTTAAAGCGCCGCACTCGAGACACTCGTGCAAAGGAGTCTCTCCCCGGTCGTTCTTCAACGAAGCGTCCGCGCCAGCGGCCAGAAGAGTCTCGATCAATGACTCGATTTCCGTCCTGTGATTGTTATCTGTAAAAACAGGCCAGTTTTAGAGATTCGAAACTGACTTCCAACTCTGCTCCTTCCCGTCACACATAAGATCGTACCGAAAATAGTTGAAGAAGCTAAAATATGTAGCGCGCTCCGGCCTTGATGATCTTTCGCGTTAACGGGGCCAGCGCGTGCCAATAAATCCAGCGTTTCCAGTGCCGCCTCGAAGTTGTGGTGCAGATTCTTGGCTCCCTGCGCGTGAGCTAATTGCCGCGTCAATATATGCAGCGCGGTCAAGCCGCCGCCGGCCTCTTTCACGCCCGGCGGACAACCGTATTTCAGGAGTTCCGCTACGAATTCGTACACGTTCCCAGGCCCTCCGTTGAGAATCACTCGATGAAGCGCCGTCTCGCCACGTGGAGACCGCACAGCTGGATCGCATCCGTTCTCAAGGAGTAAACTGCAAAATTTCGGGAAAACGTATTTTCGTTCACGACGCGCTTTATTATATATTACTATCCCTCGCATGTGCGCAATAAAAATACTTCGATATTCTATATATTTCAGTGTTATTTTTTATTAATAAAATTAGTATTGCTATTCATATTTGAATGAAACCATTTCTCGGATCATGGCTCGCGGAGGTTTTCTTAAAATTTGAATGAGAAATTATTCGTTTGCAAGACGTATCTGTATGATTCTTTCACCGACGGCGAAAAGGTCACATTTGGTAACAGCATGGCAAGAAAACTGCCGTGTAAGAACATTATAAAAAGAATTTCACGGGTAAGATTTCATTTCGAGGAAATGATTCACAAATGCTTCATCCGCACTAACAATCCAGTTTATAGATATTTCAAGCATTCGTCAGCATTCTGAAATTCGTGGAATTGAAATTAGAATTCGTGGTAGAAACGTCGAAATTCATTGTACCGAATAAGAAGCATGAATAAAAATACATATTTAGAAAAAGAATAGATTTTTAATTATTAATTTATATATTGGTCGCAGTCAGTATATTATTATTATTATTTATTTATTTATTAACATCTTTATTACAATTAGGCGTGATGCCTGGTGTAATCTTTTCTTTTACGTTCTGTGTACAAGTCTTAGTTTCTGTGAATGGTCTTGGTGCTTCTATATAATCCTAATAATCTAAGTAAGCTGTACGACCTTTACATGACTATGCTATATGGGACTTCGACCGATCCCAGTCGTACACCGATTTATAATGTCCCATGTTTTGTATTTTATTCGTCTAAACAGAATGCACGAAGTTTCATGCTATTTTTAATAAAGTTAACTAAAGACCAGATTTGTCTTTCCTCTTCCTCTGCAATTATATCGTTTTTATCTTTCTCCCTCCACCGGAGTCAGTATATCATTGGAAGTTTACAATATTTCTATTTAGCAAAAAGAAAAGAATGCCGATGAGAAGCACTGGGCGATGGGATTTCTTACCTGAGGATAGGCAAACAATGATGCGTCGCGGCCACCAGCAAGGGTGGATCACCCGAAACATTCCAATCCGGTTCGTCCAGGTTTTGTACAGAGCCAGTCGCGAGAAGTCCCGCGACGCACTTGGAGTCGCCTGCACGTACCGCCTCGTGAAAATTCAGTTCACCCTCCGGATCGTACGACTCCTCCTGATCGTCCCGTAGATTCTCGACTTCACACGATCCGTTGCAGGTCTCGTAAAACGAGAAGCCGCTCGTATCTGTAACGATACTATCGACAGAATTCCGTAGTTCTTGTAACTTGAAACTGTCCTTCGAAATCGAATCGTTTGCACGTGTTTCCGACGATACTGCTTCTAGCTTTGGGGTATTGTCATCGATTCTTGCTGATACGATTAAATCCGTCGAGCTGCAGTTTTTCAATACGTCGCTTTTAGTTTCGTCCGCCTCGATATTTCGATCGCGTTCGACGGCATCGGAACCGTTTTCACTCGTATTTTCTGAAACTTCCGGGTCCTCGGCTAATTCTTTAGCTTTCTCTTCGACCGACTCCGATAATTCGCTCTTAGCCGGCATTCTTTCCTGATCGACGAGACCCTCCTCGCAAACCTGACCACCTGTTGCAAGCTTCATTGTTTCCGGCGGTGAAGTAAACTCCGTGCTTTCCCCCCTAGCTTGCTCGTTTTTGTTCGCCAACGTTTTATCAACTATAGTCTTCTCTGTGCACGGTTCTTGCTGCGGCTGGCTAATGGGATCGTTTGCGTAAGCAGCGGTCATCGCGACGATTGTTCCCCGCCTTTTAATTAAACCTGATTCCCCGGCAATTGGCCGAACGCCTTTTATCAACAGGAAGGATAGAGAATCTCACGCCGTGATCCACTTTACCCGATTCATTCCCGGCTGTACGTCCCCCTTTTCTAACAATGTCGCACTCGCACTTTCCCTACGTATAATTGATCGTCATATACAGGATCGAGATATGTACATGCAGAATACAAATTAGAAATGGTGGTGGCGTGATTGTACGTGTGTAAAACCGATTACGAGCAGACGTATCACGGATACGTGACTGTCAGTAACTGTGAAAGCTAAACGAGCACTGCCAGACTTTTGCTGCCTCTCTCCCTGCTTTCGCTCTCCTCCTTTTCTTCTCCTTCTCAATTTCCCCACTTTTGCTCCTTACCTCGCCCCACCTCTCTTGTAAACCCATAAGATAAGAATCATGGTGCATGCTGCATCCCAAATAATCGAATACTTATGCATCTCGTAGAAATCCGGATCAATACTTTTTTCAAACACAGACGTCTTATACATATGAATAAATAATAAATTTAAATTAGAATATTCATGCATACGCATCCTTTACATGAATATTTTTTTATTTAAGCTACGACTAGTGATGGAAATTCCGAGAGTCGTCCAGTTGCATTCCGGAGCTACGAAAAATGATTCTATTTCCGTTATTACATGTACTATATAGAAGAAATCGTTTCATGCATTTAATCCGCATTTAGCATCGTCAAAATTAAATAATACTTATTAACTGTTGTAGATCCAAATTTTTGGATTCGCAAATCATATCTCAATTATATGTATTAAAATCCTTGAGGGATCTGCAAGAGTGCGACGGATGTTAAGATGAAGCTCTTTCTTTTCGAAGCCGCGACTGATACAAAATCAACTCGACTTTTTACTCGTTTTTAATGAAAATAATTATCGAACTAAAATATAAAACAATCACCGCGCGCATAATTAATCAAGGCACTTGAGACAACTGTGCCTTTAGCATGATTTTATTGATTATACATATACATGAGTATGTACATGTATACCTCGTTATTATTATTCAACTTAAACATACATTGGAACTTGATAAATTATCGTATTGACATCGTCGTATAAATAGCTGAACAAATGTTTCTCGACGGAAAGGTTGAAAGATGGTCGAAGTTGAATCATTTCAAGTATCGTAGTGATCGCTAACAGGGATGGTACATGTATAAGTAAATATGTTTTCAATACACATAGATATGACGGGTAATCGAAGAAGAAGAAGAAGAAACTAGTATTGGAACAGCTTAGTCGAAAGAACGAATAATAATTAGCAACGTAAAAAATAATTTTCATACACCTGTCGATCACGCACGATCATGACATGGTCGATCTAGATCTAGATTTGGTCCTGCACGGGCTACGATCTCTCGATGCGACTCCTCGCTCGTTTCGGTGCTTGTCTTTCGCCTGGTCGGTTTTACGCGAACGATTACGAGAATGGGACCGGGATCTTGATCTCGTCCCGTACCGCGACGTCGACGATGAGACGTCCCGTGATCCGTCACGTGACCCGTACCGCGACGTAGACGTAGAGTTGTTCCGTGACCTTGACGTAGAGTTGTTCCGTGACCCGTTCCGTGACCGTGACCTCGATGTAGATTTTGACCTGCAGCGAGATTCAACAGAAACGATCACCATTATAAAACGATGATTGTATAAAAATGCCTGAAACTTGGAATCTTATGGCTATTCTGTTAGTCTAAGACTATCGTTGCATGTGAATTCCTTGTTTTCTTTCCTGTATGCTCGTCGTGGAATGATTGGGCTTGCAAAAATTGTGACAAGTACCCAGGAAAACTATAATAATAATAATAATAATAATAATTTACTTCATATCCGTTATTACGCGTAAGAATGACTGCGGTAATATTAGAGTACAGTATGTGGTAATTTAAATAATCGATCAACTGATTATCTATGTTAATTTTTGCTTAAATGTCAATATACAAGTCCCAATTCTATTTGTTACAAAACGTATATTGCTGGTGATACAAGCTCCCAAACGTTATACAACATAAATATTATAAAATAGAGAGATAATATTTAATCTGTTCCGGTACGTACGTACAGTTATTTTATTTATCGTATGTACCATATTTCACAGCTGTTCGTTTGCAGTTGTAGAATATGGATATACCAAGAAGAAACAGATGAAATTGCACGAAAGTCGGACATGTGGACGAAGAGTGGCTAGACAGAGTTACTCAGAATCGTTCTCTCGTTAGTTTGACCATTAGGCGGTAGTCTAAATCGTGATAATTTTGCAGCGGTAATAAAGAGAATTGAAGAATATCGGGGAGGATACCAGTGTGGCGTTGACGTGCAAAAACTTTCGGTTTAAGGTGATCTCAGTGGTCGTTAGAAGTATTGTAGTGTGCGGAGAACTAGCCACTCCATCGGCCGCGTTCATTTCCCCTCTTTTGCTTGTGGAGCGCAGAAAGATAACCAGAAGTACGCGTTGGTACGCTATTGCTGTAACTACGCAGTATCACAAAGTGAACCCAAGGCGAATCTCACGAGAATCTCAGTAGCGACACATTTCTCATGTGTACAGCTGCCTGTTTCAGCTGGGTCTCCTATAAAAATGTCAGTATTACATCGGAATCGTTCTTGACAATCGCAACCGCTTTGTTTTACAGTTCTAGCATTGTACACAACATCTTCCTATTGTAGAATGTAATTTCTGTTCAATGTACTTTACTCTCGCAATTGATTCCAAACAATCAAATCAAGCTTATCGAATTGTATTTAGGCCTTACAATGCGCTCTGTTTTCGGAAACGTTCTAAATCGAAACGTTACATTAAATTAATTCCATTGTACATTTAAGCATAGATCAAATTAAGTCAAATTCTCTGTCTCGTAATCATATATTTCTTGCTTACTTGTCTAATGCTTTTTTGCATGCCATAGAATGTAGATAGGAGATAGGGTGCACTTATTTATACTTACCTCTTCTTGCGAGCACTTCTGTGTCGTTGACAATTTCTAGCATAATGACCTCTTTCACCACATTCATAACATCTGTCTTCGGGATGAAACAGTCTTCCGGCGCCTCTTCTGAAATGACCTCTGTCTCTCAGTCTTCTTCCGTTGGATGGTTCCACGCGGGCTCGTCTGCCGCAAATCGTTCTCCCATCCAGTCCTCTTATAGCGTCTTCGGCGTCTCTGGCATCTTCGAACTCCACGAAAGCGAATCCAGGTGGATTTCTAGCTACCCATACATTCCTCAGAGATCCGTAATAGGAAAAAGCGTCTTCCAGTTCTTGTTTTGTCGCGCCACTTCCCAAATCTCCCACATAGACTTTACACTCCGAGGGATACCTGGACATCTGAACAATATAAAGTAGAACAAACATAAATTGACCATACATCATTTTGTAAATAACATTGTACTTCAGTCAATCAATAAAACATCCAACGAGGACGGTACAGCGAGATATACAACGTGAAATTAATTAAGGGGTAAATGAATAATGGACGTTTCTCTGCAGAACATGCATTATTTTTAACAAAATATTCTTTTGAAAAATAAACTGAAATCAGTTTCAGTCTAACGGATTTATGTTATACTTGTGCAAATACCTTATTCATTGTCGCCATTTGTATACTGAACACCGTTAAATGAAAAAGTAGATAATTCAAAGTTTCAGTTTATCATCTTGGAGAAAAAAAAGTGATTTAATGTATCTCGCCGAAATACGCCGAAATGTGGGGATGACTCTTAAAGCTCGATTTACAAACACTGTCTTATTGTGTCGCCATCGCGTCGGTGTCGGTGTTTGTAATTCCAATTATAACTGATACGTTATTTAATATAATTGACAAAATAATTCACATAATTTATTAATTCAAAGATCCCATCTGCTTTTCTCCTTCAATAATTTTATAATTCATGCAAACACAGTATGATATAAAGCATGAAGTTGTTCCCTCGTCATATTGAAATTGATTTAAGTTGCCAACTTCACGAATAAGAGCAGACTTGTACGTCTTGTACGTACAGGTTAAAGTAATCAAAGTGGAGTAGAATCGTCGTTGTTGACAAAGTATTTAAGAAAGAATTAAAAATACGAGCTTAAGTTTATTTATCATTTCGTGTGTATCAGTGATATAAGGATTTAAAGAACGGACGCCGGTTGTAGCGTACCGTTCGAATTATTATAATCAGCCGAATGGCTATTAAGAAAGCGCAACGTACACGTGCACCGTCGCGGCGGAAACCTGCTCAGTTAAAATTAAAACACAAAGAACAACAAAATGTGGCGAGGAATAATAATAGTGGAGACAAGAAAGCGGCGGTTATCGCGCAGGAAATTAAATTCGCTCGTTTACTGTCGAGTAAAGATAAAGTGATACGAGACAGAGTGTTGAAAAATTTGAGGAAATGGTTAACAGTTCGTTCGCAGAGTTCCTTTCGTAAGTTTTGTGTTTTTCTTTCTAAAAACCTGTCGATAATATTTTAATTTGTTAAACAGATATATTTGACAATGACAGTAGCAGCTGATATTTTCCTGTTACTCGTTTCCAGCATTTACAGAATCAGATTTTATAAGACAATGGAAGGGTTTATTTTATTGCATGTGGATGTCGGATAAACCTTTGATTCAAGAGGAATTAGCTGAATGTCTTAGTAAAATTGTACATTGTTTTAAAACTAGGGACGTAGCATTGCTGTACACGGAATGTGCATTGAAAACGTTAGGTATCGAATGGTTCGGTATAGATCATTATAGGCTAGATAAATTTTGTATGGTAAGCATCACAACAATCGGTATTTCTCCATAAAAGAATCGTATAATTTTTAAAACATTCAATTTTTATTNCGAATTCCTTATACCTATGGAAGATGAAAGGCGAATTAGATTTATCATGAAAAACATTTTTAGATATTTAATTTTCCAATCGGATGTCGGTATGGATTATATGGAAAAGTTTCAAGCTTGGAGAAATGTAAGAAGCGATGACGTTCTTGTTACTTCAAACTTTATTTAATATTGCTGACAAACGATCGTTTTTTGGTGTAGGCTGGTTTTCCAGCTGGCTCGATCGATGCTATGGAAAAACTCGAATTGTCAGATGAAGAAGTATTTGACGTGAATGAAACAAGAAAATCTGAAGAGAAACAGTCTGCTTCCCAGAGCAGAGAGACGAAGCAGTCGCAGGACACGGAGAAACCTTTGGATCCAAGAGCTGGTAGAGTAAACGTGGAATTGCCGCAAATACCTTTCAATGCGAAGGACATAGTTGCTCTGTTAGAACAATATAAATTTCATCCTTCGTCGACGACCAAATCTCGTAGGCAATTACGTCGTCTTATCAAAGAGTAAGTCGTTGTAAAACTAAAAGACTAGGGATCAATTTTTGATGGAACTATGTTTATAGATTTACCGAACTCTCGCAAGATAAAATGCCGCTGGGTATTAAGGAGATAATCGTGCCAGAAAAATCGAAGAAAGAGATGGAATCCAAATCAGCTGCGATACGGCTTTTGAAATTCGAACAAGAATTGTATTCGGATACGCTACATAAAAAGGGTAAGAGAAAAAAAAATGGCCAATTGACAGAAGAGAAGAATACTGACTTTAGCGAAGAGGAATTTGGAGATTCTGACGACAATGAAAATTACGTTGCTCAAGTACACGAAAATAAAATCGGGAAGAAGAGGAAGATGAAGCATAAATTAGATGATAAATTAATAAATACGCATTCAGAAATATCAGACGACGAGGTGGACGATGAGCTTATTTCGAGGAAAAAGAAACTGAAGAAGAGGAAGATACAAGGTGACACGGATGAAACTGTGAAGATGGACGCAGACAGCAACTGTAAAAACGAATCGAAAAATTCATCCACAGTGATTAATAAAGAAGCTGATAAAGAATTGAAATCAAAAGGAAATAAAAGTAAATCTACGAAGGTATTAAATGTCTTCGCGCAAGTTAAGAAGAAGAAATCTAAAAAATCGAAAGTTATTGGAAAGTGGAACGTTTCTGATAACGCACCGCTCCTTGATAACAAGACTGCAGCAGCAGCAGCCGAACATTCAGAAACAATCGAGCAGGAACCCAATGATAATAGCATGGTTAACAATAAACAACCAGTATGGTTATTACCTATATTTTCAAAATTAGGAAACGTAAGTTGCGTTGTTCGATCTTTATTAATTTTTCATTTTGAGAACTTCTTGAAATTGTTATATTCATTGATACTTTTACAGAGAACCCAGCAAACTTCGAAAAGTAAAATGGCAGCGATTCAAAGTACGAACTCGAAGAAACGAGTAAAGATCGCTCTTCAACATAACACTGCTCAACATACGTCCGAATATATGTTACAAATTCGTAGGAGTCCAGCTATACCTTTCGACGCGAACAAGAAGCCACCAGCAGGTGTATTGAAAGCGAGTCCTATACCGAGTCCAATAAATCCATTTTACAGAAGAGCTGTTATATAAAATAATCGATGTGACGGTAACAATTATTTGTTATTATTTACATCAATTAAATAAACACGTGATCTTTGTTCAATCGGGCTTGTTCCAACGATCATAATTACATCCTCAACGGATTTATTCATGTGCTTAATCAGATTTCTATCTACGTGAATAAAATGTATCCTCTTTATATACATTTGATTTATTTTTCCATATAATACTGTGTGTGTGTATATTTAACTATCGACGAATACATTTTTACACGAAATAAACAGTTTACAACTTTGTTACAGCGATTTACGTACATACATTGAGACAAGTTTATTACTTTGCTTTACATCTTCTAATTATACGAGTAATTTCGTTAATATACAAACAGTAGTCGCAATATCTTCACTCCGTTACACGGAGTATCACTGTCTTCTTTACTCTCTGTCTTATATATATTAATATATTCAAAAAAGTACATTAATACACACACACACGCACACAGATTTATATATATATATATATATTTCTTTGGCACATGAATTCACTTTTACTTATGTGTCTTCAACACTTCTATAGCTATAGAAAAATAGAGCTTCGATTAGAAAAATCAAACGTACCTAGGTACTTGGAGTTTATACGTTATACATGTTTCGTTCACATCGTATTAATCGTACATCGGATAGGGACACATAAATATTTCTTCAAATGTACGCTACGTGTTCATATTAAGATAGTACATGTATTAAAATTCGTAAGATGGTTTTTTAATACCAATTTTAAAAGGAAGAGGTGAGTGCGTGACTATCTCATACCTTTTATTATTGCAAAACGAATTTAAAACTTCTCAAGTTTGTCATTTTATCGCGATTTGGAATTATGTACATTATTTGTACTTGATTTGAAATATGAGATAATGAGGCACTGTGTCCATTGTTAGCTAGATTGATTTTAATCGCGAGTTAAGGGGATAGGGTAGTTACGTGATTTATCTAACATTTATTAATTTTTGACATCTTTTGCTCTATTCTATTAATAACTAAATTATGGGTTTATGCTATTCGATTTTGTATTTTTATTTCTCAGAGAATCAGTCGTTTTAATGTTTAGTATGAGGTACATCCCTGGCTCTTATTTTACTCAGAACAATCTCAAATTCGTATAAAATTGCTTAAAATCCAAAGCATAGTAATTACCATTGCTTTGCTTTGTAACACTTATTTTATTAAATATTCGCATGATCTTATTGAGTGACCAGAGCGACCTACTAGAATTTACCATAAAATAAAACGAGTTTTGTCTTGATTCTCTGAGAAATAGAATCGAATGGCAGAAACCCAGAGATCAGAATCTATCCCCTTAAACAGAAAATTTCGCTTTTAAGATTCCAAACAGTAAATACTGATAGTCATATTTCCCAAAATATCTACAATAGTGTGACTGCATTTTTGTAAATTCTCCTCCTCTTTTAAATTCACAATTTGAAATTCATCATAATTATTGCAAAATTACACGTACCCTTAAGGATGTATTGGCTATACAATCAATCCCAAAAGTTTATGCACTTTAGAAACGCATTTTTTAAAAAGAAATCAG